GTTCTTCGTACTTTTTTCGATATAAAAAATACGTGATAGAAATCATTTTATTCAACTCAGTTATGAAAATATCAGTTCTATATATATATATATATATATATATATATATTATAATAAATGACATGAAAAATAAAAAAAATTATCTTATATTTCAGTTGTGCTACCTAAAATATATTCATGATCATCTTTTGTTGGTCTATATGATAACTATAATTCCATAATGATAATTAATGATTAAAGCATAGCCCATGAAAAAAAAACACATACCACCAACAATTATTTGGAGGTTTATGTGCATAATTATGCTCACCATGAAAAATAAAGCATCATCAATGTCCAAAGAAGATTACTGTCAGACAACAAACGAATAACACGGTAAATTGACAGCCAAAGTGTGTAAGGTCATTTTCAGTATAGGTTATTTTACACACTATTGGGCAAAAACACACTTGTGGATCTCTCATCTCCAACTTCAAAGTAGGGGGCTTAGTTGCTATTTGCTAATATTTGGATTGTTGTAATTGTTCGGGTCAAATTTTTGTGATGACCTACTATTTGTTGAATATAATTCATAATTTCGGGTTTGTTAGGGGGAGAGGACCGAAACATGGTTTGTTAGGGGGAGAGGACCGAAACATGCTGCTGAAAGACTCTACTAAGACAAAGATGGGCTGTCAAGAACGTAGAGGAGGTAGGATGGACAGTTGGTCAGATCTAGTATGGATCGTACATGGACGGTAGTTGGATTCGGCGACTCTCCTAGGGTTCCCTTATTGGGGATCCCTAGGGAAGAGGATCAAGTTGGCCCTTGCGAACAGCTTGATGCACTATCTCCCTTCAACCCTTTGAGCGAAATGCTGCAAAAGGAAGGAAAATCCATGGACCGACCCCATCATCTCCACCCCATAGGAACTACGAGATTACCCCAAGGGGTCACGGACCGACCATAGAACCCTGTTCAATAAGTGGAACGCATTAGCTATCCGTTGTCAGGTTGGGCAGTAAGGGTCAGAGAAGGGCAATCACTCATTCTAACAGAAGAAAAGGTTCTCGATTGATTCAAACATTGTACCTATGGGATAGAGGAAGARGAAAAAACCGAATATTTCACATAGTGCTTTTAATCAATCTGATTTATTCCGTACCCTTCCCTTAATGAGAAAATGAGTCCAATTCTAAAGGATCAAACCTATGGGACTTGAAGAATACTATAAAAAAAGAGAGGGAAAAATATTCATATTAAATAAAAATCAATAAAATAAGTACATAAAAAATGAAGTAGAAGAACTCAGATTCCAAATGAACAAATTCACACTGTTGTAAAACCGTGGAACCTCATTATATCATAATGTCATACTTTGTATGCTTTATTTGCTTGCATTATTATTGTGATACATAGTATGTTGATTTGTATATTTTATATTAGCTGTGTGTTTGTATAATAATTAACCACCAACTGATAATTATTGTGTAATCTTACGCAAACAACAATCATCAACACGTTTTACCATTTACTGAATACATGCCTCGAGTTAAAAGTCTTTAACAAATGAATGTGAAGTTATAAAAAGTTGGCTTTAATCATGAGACATGTCAAATATTTAATTTGATATAGTCTTACGGTACCATGTTGTGTGTTATTTATTGATTGGTGAAAGTATCGTAAAATATAATCAAAGCTTCTACCTAATCTTGACATGGGTAGTGTTAGTGTTGTCTTGCTTTATTTACGCTATGATTGTTAATAATTATTGTTAATTAAACGAGTTGAACGAATAGTCTAAACGGCAATAAATATTTAAAATAAACGTTGATGGAAAACTGTGAACGACGAAACTATCAATTAGTTTCGAATTATCAGAATATATTTTATTTAGCTAGAAGCGTACTCATGCAATGCAGCGAGATACATCGTGACTTTAATATTTCATTTTATTCTTTATC